ATCATTTGCTACACTTTAAGCACGTAAACTTATCAACCTCCCTGCATAAAAAGCAAAAAACTTGACGGAGATGTGATATTGTGGTATCAAGGAAAAGAGTGGGAGCTAATTTTTTTTTCCTTTTTCCTTTTTGTTTTTGTTTTTTGTTTTTTGTTTTTCCCTCTTTCTATATTTTTATTACTATTGGTGTAATTATCATTATTACTATTATTATAATTACTATTATTTCCGTTATTATTATCACTATCAACAGGACCCTTATCATTTTTAACCATATAGTGAACCCTTAGTTTGCTTTAGCTCTATATGAAAGTTTAAAATGAATGCAAATTTATGGATTGTTGTGAGGCACTATTGAATTGTAACGGTTTTTTTCTTCATTATCATTAACATAACTCTTATTATCATTCTTCTTATTACTATTATTACTATTATTATCAATATTATTATTATTGTTATTGCTTTGTCATTTCTTTTGACAGTCCGCTGATCTCTTTTCAGACATTAACGAGTGTTTTCAAAACCACAATTGTAGCGAGAACGCCAACTGCACAAACACCGAGGGATCTTACGACTGCTCTTGTAATCCTGGATTCAGCGGGGATGGACATCGATGCGAAGGTAAAATCCTGCAGAACGCGATCTCATTAAACACATAGAGTCCATCGGTATTCCTTAATCCTTAAGAATGCCACGGACTGGTATATTGCTTTCCGATTGAAAACTCATGTACTGAGTTCCTGAGAGGCCGTGGCTTAAGAAAACTACAATTTATGGCTTTGTCAGAAATAGTTTGAGCCCAGCCTCCATTGCATTATATTTGAGAGTGACGTTAGATTTCTTATCTTATCAGTCCCTCTTAATTGTTATTCTTTATCAGCATAATTGATATGGAATGCTGATTAATTTCAGACATTGACGAGTGTTTTCAAAACAGCCGTAACTGCAACAATGTAACTGCCACTTGTAACAATACAAAGGGATCATTTAAGTGCATTTGTAAAAAAGGATTCCGTGGTGACGGACACAAATGCACAGGTACTAAATAGTATTCAGAACATGATACTTTGTCATATCAGCGCAAAAAACCTACAGAGCTGGTCCTGACAAGGCTACCTTAAATGGGAACCCGATATTATTTACAATATTATGCTCTTTTATTGAATCGCTCGTAGTGCCCGTGGGCGAGATGAAGAGAATCCTATGTTCTCCTTGGCTACCCGAGTAGACAAAATGGGCCCATCTTGCTCGCTCGGGACTGCCCGCATTGATCCCGCGCAAGAAAAAACTTGAATTAAACCTAAATTCGTAATTCTTGGACAATGTCGGCAATTGAATGCAAAAAGAGGCAGAAGATAGTCAAAACAAATAAAATAGGAACGACTCTCGTGTCTCTGTTGTGCTACAAACACAGTTGGCTTTCTTTCCCAACTATTGTTATTATTATTAGTAATAGTACTATGATTATTATCATTATCATTATCATTATTATTATTATTATCATTAATATTATTGTTATTTTATTATCGACATCATCATCATTATCATCATTTTTAACTATGATAATAGTTTATCGCTATTTTACCCGTAAACTATTATTTTGCTTTAGCTAATGCAAGCTTAAAATGACTGCAAATCTTGGTATTATTGTGTGGTAGTATTTGAGTTTTAACAGAGGATTTTTTTCATCATAATCATTATTATTGGTAGCACAAATGTCCGGATGCCCAGAGTAAAGGTTAAAAGCTTAGGCTGGGCGGCAAATCGTAACCAGCCACAGCATCGACTGAAACTTATGACAACAATTACACAAGAATGTACGCAAAAAAAGAAAAGCAAGCAACCACCACAAAAGAAAAAGAAAACCTGATTAAAAATGATTTGATAAGAGTGACATAGAAATATATAAATAACTATTGTAAGAAATAGACAACTTATTGAAGAGAAATGTTTCGGCTTGCTTATGCAATTTTTTATTCAATCAAAACAAGTAGATGAGTAAAATATTTACAGTATGATGTAATACAAACGAGGGTACTAATTAAAACGTGACAGCATAGTTAGTAGAGGGGACTGGTTAGGAAACGCGGCAAACTTCGGTCGGATAGGTTATTGTTCGATTTTATCGAGGTCACGTGACAGTGACCCTGCACACATAAATCCACAATGGCACCGCGGGCTTGTTTCGACAGTCACGTAGCGTTTATGTATTTGGATTTTCTCCGTGATCGAGCGACATCTTACCTTCAAAATATAGCTAAAAACATTAATCAAGTCAGTGGACATAATGCCAGGTGAAAATTGTTCAGTATTTGGCTGTGGAACGCGTAGGAGAAGTAAAGGAATCTGGAAGCTACCGGCGCCGCGAAACGCAGAATACAAGAAGTGGCGAGAAGACTGGCTGAAAATAAATAAGTTACTCTATGTTAGATACTTTAACCATATAGCCTTTATACTCATTTTTGTCTATAAAATAATCATTAATGAGCAAGT